CTGAAGAGTAATTCTAAAGGACTCTGTGTCAGTTAAAAAAGGCAACTCCAGACACACTCTCACAATGTTGTTGAGTGTGAAAACCGGCTTAATTTATTTCTGGCTAACCTGCAACATAGTCCAAAGTGGGGGGGGGGGGGGATCTTCATTTTTGCAAATTGGAGTCCTGCAGGTGGTTCATTTTCCATTCAGAAGGGTGGCCTCACCGTTTTTCCCAGCTTCTGAGCTTCAGCTACTCAAACAGCTCCTCTAAGGATTGTCAGGTTTTGTTATTCTAGTTGAGAGGAAAATATAACAATTTAGAAGTATTTTTACAAAGAGTTCCAGTTCTTGCAGATTAAAAACACACCCTTTACAAGTAGTTCTCACTTAATGATCCTAATTGGGACTGGCAACTCGATCGCTAAGCAAAGTGGTTGTCAAGCAGAACTTCACATGGCTGCCCCACTTAGCAAGAGCAGTTCTGGCAGTCCCAGTTGCAGTCAATAAGCGAATCACTCATTGTCGTTAAGCATGACATCATGTGACTGCGACTTGTGACTCCTGCTGGCTTCCCCATTGACTTTGCTTGTTGGAAGCTGACTGGGAAGGTCGCAAGTGGCAGTCTTGTGACCGCAGGGATGCTGCAATGGTCATAAATGCAAGGATCAGTCATAAGTCACTTTTTTCAGCGCCATCAGAACTTCGAACAGTCACTAAACAAATGGTTGTTAAGCAAGTACTATCTGTGTTTAGAATTTGTCATTTGATCTTTCCCATGCAAGCTGCCACTATAGCCTATAACCATGGTTAGAAGCACTGAGGGAAAACTTGGTTGCAAAATAAATGACATAATATCCAGCTGCATTCATAGCTCTTGATGGAATTTTTAATAAAGGAGGAATGATAGTTTAGTGGCCCAGCCTTTTAATCCCATAACAAACACTCAGGGTTTGCATGTTTGTTTGTTTTGCAAGTGACCACAACTACACATGAACTAAAAATAATTTATTTCATGTCCTTTTTGTGTGAAATTCACTTGTCAAGACCCTGATAGCGTGAGGCCTTTTCTCAGGCTTCAATTGTTCAATTAGAGGGAGTGACAGAGAGCACTGATGGTTTGACTAGGTTCTGAACATGTTCTCCTTATTTTGAGATCAATCAGCAAGTGAGCTTGAAACTGCCTTTGAGGAATTGGGGGGTAGAAACAGTGCCATGTGAAAGTGCCCTTAGACCCTCTTGTAACATCC